GCTCTGTTTGCAGTATAAAAGCAGAATAAACTGTGTCCACTCTTGCAATTTTGAGGTTATTGTAGATATGATTACTGAGGCCTACTCTATAAGAAGAATGGATTATGGTGGTGCCTAGTGAAAGACTCATAGATTGAATCTGAAGATGACTGTTGCTATCTCCGCTGCCATTTTTGAGACACCAGAACATAGAGTTGCTCGTTATAGATTGTGATAATCTTCACAGTATGTCTCTCCTCCTTGTTTCAGAATGTTACATGGTAAATACTCACTAAATTTCAATATTAAAATAGGTTGAAAATGAATCATACAATTTCTTTTGCAGAGTAACTGTTTCTGCATTTCTTGGGATTCAGCTTTAACTCTTGAGTACAATCTGAATAATTAAGAGATCATTCTTTGTAATTTTTCTTCAAGTTTTACAAATCTTCAGGGAACTACCGAGATTCTGGCTAAGTCGTAAAAGGTCCTGAACAAGAGAACCTCTAGCAAATAAGCTCGGAAAGGTGTTGCTGCTTGGGAATCAGAAAATGTCTACAGTGTCTAGTGTTATCTCCAGTTGAAAGGTACAGGCAGGATTTTGTCCCAGTGACAGTATACCCTGGTAAAGGTCAATCTTGAATTTGAAGGAAAGAGTTAGGATCTGAATTGGTGGTATGTAAAACAGACTAAAAGAACATTTAGGGTGTGAGATAAATGCAGTATTGCTGATTGCTGTTTGTATCTTCTAAAGCTCTTCAATAAAAGCAACTTTGGAAAGTTGCAGTTGAAGGAGGTTTGAGTTGGCACGATTTTTATAGACTACTGTACTGTTTGCAACATTGTTTCTTAAATCTTGGCTGTAGAAACAGTATGCTTTGCTTCCACTTTGTTATAAATATCATGCCAATTTTGAAACATTAATAAAAGTAGATTAGTAATATTTAATCTTTGGTTTCCAATGAAGGGCACTTAATAGCAGTGTAATTTTTGCAAACCTTTTGGCTTAAAGTTTTAGATAATCCCTGCTATAAACTACTCAGTAGATTTGCTGGAAAAGCTTGTGATTGAGTGCTATGTATGCTTGCCTTTTTGCTTCCACCTAGAATCCAGGGCCATTACTTTCTGTAACCATTTCAGTGAGCTGCCATAGTTTTCAGTCTGTACTGTCACCTGATCCAAGCATGCGCCAAAATTCCCACCGTTTCTGGCTACTGTCTGCTGAATCTGCTTTGCGAACCCTTAGTTCTTAAGCTTTTGCCTTAGCCAAAAACAACAACAGACACCCTCATGGAGTGTACTGGACACATGCCATCCTGCTTCCCTAATTCCTCTAATTGTTTATGTAACTCCCTAGCTTTACTAAACTTGTAAATGCTACAATGGCATCCCCATGTGGAATTGTGTGGCTCATGTGTCAAAAAAGGCTGCTTGTGAAAATATTTGTCAGAAGAATACGAATGCTACACATTGCACTGCATTCAGTGTTTTGTATCAATTTATTATTGCAATGTCATGGTGTTTGATTTTAATTGTAGACAATCATTTTGTATTTTAATATGCAAAGGTAAGTGTATAAATTGTGTGTGAATGTACAATATTTATATATAAACATATTGATTCTTATTATTGGGCCTCTTTCTGGAAGAAAAAAGTACGGATTCAATTAAATTTAATGTCTTAAGCAGAGGACCCACTCTCCTTTACAAGCACATGTTTATGCATGACTTTTGTAGAAACTTTTGAACTTGTGCAATGAGAATTTGTTGGATTTTTTGGAACTATATTAGGCCTGATCCTGTTAGCACTGAAGACAATGGCTGTAAAATTGTTTTTGTCTTTAATAAGAATGAAAATGATCCATAACATTACTTTTTTTTAATCCTGATGTTGACCAGAGTCTCAGAAAGAAGAAAGGGTTAAATGTTGTTTGAGCAAGACATAGTGTTGAGCAACCCCCCAACAACGTGTGTTTCCCTTATAATAATGTGCTGTGTAGATTAGGTGAGAGAATTGTGTTAACTCTCTTGGAGACTTGTCCTAAACTTTAATATGCATTATAAATTCATTGTGGAGGAAAGTTATGTGTTTGCATTGAGATTGGGACCCGTCACTACTACTTCCACCGTTTCTGTTCCCTTTCAGTATTTCCATTCCCTTTAAGTATTTTGTTCCGTTTCAGTTTTTAATGTGGCCATGTTCTTTTTTAGTTTCATGTTGTTGCTTGTATCGTTATTCTTTATTCCACAGCACTTTCCCTCTTCATCTCCAGTCTCCTCACCCTATTGTTTACTTTCAACTCTTTGGTCACAACTTCATGTTTCTTTTGCACTGTCTTAGAAGGGTCATTAGTGACTAGTAGGAGCAGTTTTTGCCAAATGCTTACACTTAAAAGTGTGAATGGAAACTGAGGATTCAGTAAAATTGGCGTCTCTTTGCATCAATCTCTGTCTGGAAAAAAGATTGTAAAACTCCAGTTATTTCTTTGCAGGTGTGTGTGTGTGGGTTTTTTTTTCCCCTGTGGAATGCAAAAATTTGGAGGGTAGTTCCATCACTGATTTTAGCCAGTTGCCTGTGGTGCAATCTAACTGAAACAAGAATTATTGAGAGTAATAGCAAACCACTATTTCTGCTACTTTTAAGGTCTTACACTTTTCTATTACAGAGAGACAAACACGTGGATAATCAGACTTCTTGTCTATGATTGGATTGGGAAGGAGGAATTCTTCCTGAGATCCGTATCCCTTTCACCATGAAAAGTTAGCGATAACGTTTACAGAATGTGCTTGTGGTCTTGAATCTTCCATGCAGTTCTTTATTTTGTCAGATGTTTGTAGCCTTTGCCTTAAAACAGGTTTCCAAAATTCCTCTGTTCAGCTACCACTACTGCCGGTAACTGGCAGCAACAATGACAGCTTCTGTTCAGATACAGTGATGCACATGCAAAAGAGAAGACGTTTTGCCTCCCACTTTCCTTTATCGTGTGTACTACGAGTGGCTCCCGTAGCTGAGCGTGGGAATTCTTATCCCACAATATGATGGACTACTTGTGCATGGTTCTTAGATTTTGAAGGCTGGAAAGCGTGAGACATTGATAGTAAGTCATCCAACCATATGAGTCAGCGTTATTGTTTTTAATATTGAGCAGTTGGTTTTCCTAGCCAGTGAAAGCGTTTAAACAGTGTTTTCACTTTGAGAAATGGCAAAGTGTGATGCCTAGAGGTTTTACTAGCAACACCTTGAAACCTGCTGATGGTGAGCTTGGATATAATGGAACATCATTGATATAGTCCGTAAAGATCCCTAGTCTGTTTTGTGTCTTAATGCGTATATTTTTGTTTTGATTGTGGAGAACCTTCCTAAGAGCTTTGCTGTAGTTTTTTCTCTTCAGTGCATATTTCTTAGAGCGGAGGTTAGATAAACATCAGCCTGTGCCCTGGCTGCTGCTCCCCTGGCCAAGGACAAAGAAGCTGTTAGTCAATGCAATGCTATGAGTACACACACGTTCATTAACGTTTAAAGTTAGATGTATTTGAATGTACCTCTGTGCTGGTGGTGGTGTTTAATAGCAAATGTTCGTTAGTTTCTTTGGAAAGCTGAAAACCGAACTCCAAATTGAAAGCTTTGGTAAACTCATGAGTGAATGCATCTTGCCCTGCAATACTTTTGTCTCAGTAAACTTCAAAATATGTTTAAAGCTGCATTGCTCATTTGTTTGTCATGTTTTCAGAGGACCTAGTGATGTATGTATGATACATAGTTGTTATACGCTATATTTACAAATATTCCTGATACTACAAAATCAGTTCCCAGTGAATCGCAGTTTGAGACTGGTGTTTGAAATAATGATTCTGCAAGGAGATCTGAATGGGTAGAAGTTTGTATCCATGCAAAGTTCAGTTGATTTCAAGGGAACTGTGGAAGACACTTTCTATTCAGATCCCTTTGTAGTAGCTGAGTGCCTGCTGTTTGTTACTGTTTTCCCTTCCCTTTCTATCAACAATTAACATAGTTTTTAATTAAGTTCATTGGTATAGCTGCACTACTTTGAAAGAAGAAACACTAACACCAATTGGCTTTATATGTAGAAAACTTTTAAGACAATAGCTTTAGTTCCATGTAACTAATTGCTAAACAGCTGAAATAGATGGTTTGAACAAACTTATTCTAGTAAGCTCTTAATTGCATTTTTAAATTTATAATTCAGGAAATCCATATATTTATCATTTAAGCTCTCCTTAAAAGGAAATTAGATAAAGAATCCTTTTTGGAAAAAAAAAAAAAAAAAAAGGTTTGTGCAGTTGTGCAGGATACTGAAGCAAAAAAGCATTGACAAATACAAAGTCAGCACATATCTTTTACCTCTTAATGCTGTCATTGTAGAAGTACTTGCAAATGCTCATGATTTCTGTAAGTCAGAAATGCTGAAACTACAGCTGAAACAAGGATCACAAGCTCTACGTTTGACAGTGACGTGGTCTTTAACAAATATTTTTTAAATCTGGTTAACAGAATTGCTTTCAGGAGGAAAAACCGTTCAGGTTATTTCAAAGATGTCATGTGTATACTGAAGTAGAATATCACTTTAGTAATACAAATACTGCTTTATTATTAGGACTACTACTAATTTTTTGATATTACAAAAGATCCGTGATGCTTTATTGCGACTTAGGTGCTGCTCTCGTGTTGTTGGAAAGCTGGCGGTGTGGTCTTCAAGTGGGTAAAGTTTGGAATGATATCTATAGTATTTTGGTGTCCGCTATCGCATAGACAACAACAAGAATGCAGTAGTTTGTCAGATCCTGTTTCATTGGTGATAAACAAGAAAATTAATGAAATCGCACAGTTGGTGTGTGCTCAATACTTGAGGTGCAGCAGTTGGAAAGCAAAAAGTTGCAAGATACAACAAAGTGCTATTTATGAAAACTGCCATCAAATGCAGTATCCTTTCAGATTAATTGCATGAAACTTTATGTTGACATAGTGCAGAGTAGTGAACTGATTTATACTTTGTCTTTCAGATGAACCAGAGACACGAGATGCATGGTGGGCAGAAATCAGACAAGAAATAAAATCCCATGCCAAGGCATTGGGTTGTCACGCTGTAGTGGGCTACAGTGAATCAACTAGCATTTGGTAAATCGTGATATTTTGATTTTTATAAATGCCACAGGCAATTTATTTTATCTTCAGTGGATTGAAGTTAGTGAAATATTTCGGCACAAATGTTGGTACTGTGTAATATACCTATTTTGGAGAGTTTGTTAAAGTAACTTGCTTAGATTTCAGGATTATGTCTAAAAAGTTAAACAGGGTTTCACATTTCTCTTTGTTAATGTATTTTTGTTTTGTTTTTTATTGGTTTTGTATTTTTTAATAAACATCACTATTTTTAGTAGTTCTCTATTTTTAACTTTCAAACCTACATATTTGCTTTTATATTAATATTAATTTATCTGTGAAGTTTTCTAAACCATAGAAAATAGAAATCTGCCTAAATAACTTAGACTGTTCATAAAACCATATGTTGCACTTTTATTATTGGGTAACAACTGGCAGTCCAGTACTTAAACCATAAGCTTTAAACTTAAAACACAAGTTCTGTACTTGGGATATGTTAATTGTAAATTAAAGGAGAATCTACTGCCTTCTAGATTAAGATTACTTTAGGTGTAAATTTTAGTCCTGTATTTCTTTCTAGAAATTGTTCTTATCTGTAGTACTATTCAATGTATTATACTGCAGCTCTGTAGTAGTCTTTCTGAGATTGAGTGTTAGGGTAAGTTTCCTGGCCCTGCATCCCACTCAGGCCAAAATGCCAATGTCTTGCTCCATTCTCTTTGGCTAAGAAAATTTTGTTCTCCTGTATTTTAGTTACTTAATAGCAAACTTTGTGAGAGGTTTGGAGGTCAGGAGAAATAATTTGGGATTCATCTAATTACTCCTCTTTCTCCTTGCCCCAAAGATGATTTTGTCTTTCTAGCTCCAGAAAGAAATGTTTCTTATTGCATTGACAAAATAGTGAGATAACCAGAAAGGATCAGTCTGAAAGCCACAAGGTTGATTACTTCACATCTGTTGCTCCTTCACATTTCTTTCTTTGCTCTGGTAATACTTTGCAAATACATTGACCTTTCACAAAACTTGAAAACAATTTTTGGAAGTCTAGTGGAGTAGGAAAACAGGAAAGCTTGCTTTACAAACAAGGTTTCTGTTCTTTTGTTGTCTTGTCTGGTCATGTCTTGTCTAGTCTATTGAGGACCATGTTTACATCCAATTTAGCGGTCTGCATGTTTACGTCCCTGTTGCATAGACTTGCACGAAAAATGGAAAATTTGTTGCTTTGACTCTCGATCTCATCATAAAAAGCAGAATTTTAGGGGAATTTTTTTCCCTCCTAAATATGGGGAAAGAATGTACAGAATATGGATAGGCAATCAGTGACTATGAGATTTCACACTGATTTTCTTTAGAAATTAAGTGTCGTACTATTTGATCATTGACAGAATAGTGTATTGGGGTTCTCATGCCTATTTTTCAGTTCAGCCTAACTCAAGGCTTAAAGAGCAAGCATCTGTCAGTAAGTACTGGCCTGCCAGATGTGATATATGAAAAATGAGTCTGAAAGGAGAAATTGACAAATAAGAAAAAGGCAAATGTATCACTCTAGAAAATGGAGGAAATAATTTCTTTGTGCCTTTTTCAATGTAATATTTTAACTATTGAATATTATAGATCTGTTTCATATTTAATAATTTTAGAAATACTGTGTACTTGCACTTTGCAGCTGTGAGAAATTCATTTCTCCTAAATCAGGAATGTAGTCAATTACTTTACATGCTCTATGAATCATTATAATTGTTTTCATACTTAAATTGTACTGTTTTGCTGCTTTTTATCCTCCAAGAAGCAGCCTTGTCAGTGTTGTATTGTAACTTCATTTTGAGAGTTGATGTTTGTAAGATGATGAGGCTTCCAGTTTACTTTAATAAACAATTATGCCTTGGGTGGGTTTTTTTCCATTTCTTTACTTTTGTTGTTTGGTTGGATGTCTTAACGTTAACAGCTGTAGTATTCAAAACCTTTCTTAAATCCAGCTAGGTGGTGGTATTATAGCGTATTATTTATAGCCTCGGGCAAAGCTGTTTAGTCGTTCTGCATCTGTTTCTTATACAATAGTTTAAATACCTCAAGAGGACAAGGTTTAATAGATAAAATTGCACCAATGCACAAAATTGCTGGTAATATTTAATTCATTGAGACTTTTGAACTAGCCTTTTAGTTTAATAGTTTGTAACTGAAATAAAAGTAGCACTAAGTAGCAGGAATTTACTTTGTTGTAATTCTTTTCTCTTATAGCGAAGAGGTCTGTATTTTGTCTGCGTCTGGCACAGCAGCTGTACTGAACCCTAGGTTTCTTCAGGATGGCACCGTGGAAGGCTGTTTGGAACAAAGGTTGTCTTGGCAGCCTGGCTTCTTTTCCATAGGGTCAGACAAGGGAGAGGTTGATTTTTTTCCTCAGAGCCAAGATAGTTCTTCTCTATTAGGGTAGGTTACAGTGTTACAGTGCAGGATGCGGGACCAACCACTTTACTGCTTTTCACTAACAACAACAACAACAGAAGTAATGGAACTCTGCACCAAATTAGATATTCTGTTTTTATTTCTAACAGTCTGAATAAGGTAACACATTTGACTACTAACCACAGATTATAACTTTTTTTTTTCGTTGTTTTTTTTTCCTTTGCCACTCTTCAGGTATCTTTCTCACTTTTGTAGCAGCCTATGGGGAAAAAGAAAGACAGATGCATGATAAATTACATAAGCCAAGTGTTGCTATGGCTATAATATAGCAACTGCTTTATATACTATTTAACAGTTGTATAGAAGATAATGTACCTTGGTTGTAAAACAATGACGATGCTGTATTTCTAGCCAAGTTAAATATTTCAATTGAAGTTTATAAGTAAAATCATGAAGTGTGCTGCTACTTCCCTTTGTTTCAGCTTTTGCAAACAAAACTTGAGGAAAAAGTTTTGACAAATGGTTGTTTTGGAGGAAAAAATAGGTAATTTATTATACATTCCTCAATATAATCATCATATATTTCAAGGGACTACTACAGTCAAAGTAGGACTACTTACTACACAATACTCGTATTACTTTTCCACAATACCCTGTCAACACGGTATTATTTCTTATTTTTTATTTATGTTAGCAAGTAGAACTCAACATATTGCTTTATGTACTTTCAAAAGGGAGGAGGGGGGGAAGGTGGAGAGAAAGAAAAGTCATGTTCATAATGGAAAGATTTTATTTTAAATCAGAATACGTATTTCAATGCTATTAAAAATCTTGACATAGGTTGCAAATGGTAAAGGACGATAACCAAATAAACTAAGCACATATTTCAAACAAAATGTATTTCCCAAAGTCTCATTATACCTAGTTTTCCAAGGCTAAGATTTGTTTAAACATCTCTTCAGAATTCACTGAGAAGAATTGTTTGTGTGGAGCAAAATAAATTTGCAGTGATATAGTTAGCCTAGCCTTTCCTTATTTGTATTTTTAAAGTAGTTAATCCTGGATATTTCTTGGGGGAAGGAGATCTTAGTTCTAAGTGAATAACAAGTTTCACCTAATACCACAGCTTAGGAGATTATCTTACTGCTCTTTCTTTTCATGATGTTAACATATATTGTGCTGTTTCTCAGTGGGATGGTTGTTTTGTCGTTTATATTCTCCTGATTAGGTTTGTGTAGTTTTTTGGATACGGTCCATGTAACAGAAAGCTTACATTGCGTTTGGGGCGGCAAATTCTCTCTAAAACTGTTGAACAGTGGACTGCTTTTAGAAAGTCATTATCTTAGAGCCTAAAGCCAGCACAGTAATGTTTTAGATTTACATAAATTGTTGGCTGTTATATGCCCTTGTTTCTTGACCCCTGTATAATTAGTTTCAACACAGGTTTTATGTATACCATTTTAGCTAGTAGCATACAACCTCATTTTATTCTTTTGCATTGATATAATCAAATAACCTGTGGCGTAGATGTAGTAGAGCAGAGTATAGCTGTAATATTTGATTTAAGGAGGTATATGTAGGTGTCCATTCACTTGTGCATGTATTGATCTTTGTTAATACGGTGCAGATGTTTTAAATACGTTCTCCATAATGTATTTTTAGGATTGAAGAAACTTCACCACCAGGTTGTGGATTTTGCCATATACCATATGATGAACTGAACATGCCATTCCCTGCTCACCTCACATATTGTTACAACTGCAGGAAGCAAAAGGTTCCCGATGTCCTTTTCACTACAATTGATCTCCCTGTAGAGGCAATCGTTATTGGGAAGGGATGTCTTATTCAAGCCAGGTATCTATCAGAATATTTTCTTAAAAAGTATTTTGGAGAACTCTGAACAAATTCCTGTTGGTAAAATCCAGGAAGAAGCTAAATCTTAAATTTTGATTTTTGAATTGCCAGGAGTTAAAGACAGTATAATAGAAAGTCTGCCATCTCCTCCCCCTGTGTTATGTGCCACTTCTGTTGCTGAACGTTTGGTAACTTTGATCCAGTTCTATCTTTTTTTAATGCCGACTGAAATTCCTGTATTTTATCTGCCTTGGTGAAAAGATTTCATGCCTTACATTGCTCTTTGGGACTGCTAACGTGGTCGGTTGTGGTTACTCGGTTGGAAGCTCAGTGAACTGTTTAATTCAGTTATGTCAGTTCTGTGTTGATATGCACAACTGAATGTCGTGTCCGTAGAATTGTAAGCTATGTTCAGCTTATGATGTGGTCCTTGATGAATTTTGAAAAGGGAATACAAAGATTTACAGTGAGAAAGAAGGTATGGTTAGCTATTCAGTCTGTATGTGTGGCCAACTAGACGGATAAATAACCATTTGAATAGTTAGGCGCAGAGGATAGCGGTTTATGGCTCATAATCTGGCTCGTAATGACCTGGATGCCTGTGACAAGTAGAGGGGTCTACAATGGGGCCTGTCTTGTGGAACGTCTTAATCAGCGAATTGAGGGGGTGATGGACTCTCATCCAGCCTGCTGATGCCAAATTAAGGGAGACTAGTCAGTATGATACCCCTCCAATCTTGTCCCTCTCCTAGGACAAAACAGGCATCAGTAAACTAGAGCAAGTTCAGCAGAGGGCCACCAAGATGGTCAGAAGGCTGGAGCACCTACTCTAAGAGGAGAGGCTAGGGAAGCTGGACCCCTTCAGCTGGAGAAGGGAGGGCTTCAGAGGGATCTGATAGCAACCTACCTGTCCCTACAAAGAGGTTATGGCAAAGATGAAGCAAGAGTCTTCACGATAGTATGTGGGAAGAAGAGAGACAAGGAGCATAGGTTGAAACAAGATAGGTTCAGACTGGATATAAGGAAAAACTTCTTCTTCCATGAGAATATTCAGGCAGTGGGGCAGTTTGCCCCCAAGAGGCTGTGCGGTCTTCATCCTTGGTGTTTTCAAGACCCAAGTGGATAAAGCTCTGAGCAGTTTGGTCTGATCTCAGCTGACCCTGCTCTGACCAGGAGGTTGGACTAGAAACCTCATGAGGTCCCTTCCAACATGAGTTTTCTTGTAATCCTGTGATTGTCATTCCCTGAGTTTGCTAGAGGGGAATTACTGGAGCTGCAGGAGAGATGAGTTCTCTAGTCCTCCTATGAGATTTTCAGTATTATTAAACTCTGTCCAGCAGCGCTGCAGAAATTGTCTTTTAGTGTCACAGGGTAGTGCCTGGTCTGTCTCTAGGGCGCTTGCTGATGTCACAGTTTCTTTGAGATGATTCCTCAAACATTTTGTCTCCTCTACCCTCCCTCCCCCTCAAGAAAGAGGAAAAAAAAAAAAAAAAGAACGCACAGAAAGCAAACTGTGAAGCTGTAGCTAGAAAGATTTTTGAGGTGACTTGTTAGGATTGAGAGATTTGCTACATTTTCTTGATCATGTAATAAATTCTTTTGACGTATGTATTATTATAAATTTGAATTGTTCTTCCTTGAAGATGCCATTGTCTGTTTATATCAATAAAATTTATAATTGTCATTTTCTATTTTTGGGTGAAAATTTGTTGTCCAAAGTAATTATTACAGCAGTGTGAGGGTTAATTTCAGCTTATTGCACTAAACCAGAAGAGTAGAATATGAGTAGCATAATCTAATCAGAGATGGAATTCCTTTGTACTTTTTTTATACACTAAAGATAGATATGTTTGATATTTTTAGTGTCTGAGCTGTGAGGGCACTCAGCTTTCTTTTCTTTTTTTTCCTTTATTCTCTGTTGTGCCTTGAATAAGTGTATTAATAGAAATTTTAATAGAAAAAAATTAATAGAAATTAATAGAAATAGAAGTTCTACCAATAACTGTAATTTCCTGTGCTTGTAACTAAAGCATGTAAGATATGTGCAGCAGCAGATGAAGTAGATGTTTTCTTTTGGGGCCTTATTAAAAACAAAATTGAAACTACAAATTGGCAGATAAGACAGTCTCAAAAAGGAGTAGCTGTTGAGCTGCAAACCATAAAGAAATAACAGATTTTGTTTTATATCCACAGCAATCTTGAAGAATACACATCATCAGTTAACTGTAGCTCAGTTGAAAAGGGGTAACTCATTGGAATCACAGTAACTGTCCCTTGAAATAATCTGTTTTTATTTTTTGGTGGGGGTAAATAAATATCAGAGGGGGAAGGAGACTTGTAAAATGATTATCCGGGACTTGCATTAGCAAAGAAGTCTGATTTGTCTTCAGTATTTGCTTTGACAAAAGTTAATTAGGATGATTTTTAACAGTTGCTGCTGTATGGTAGGAATGTTAATATATTTAACCATCTACTAGATATTTGGCTATCTAGATTCTGAAGATAACTTCTTTACATTGCATAATCTTAGCATTTTACATTGCCTAATCTTAGCATTGTCAGGCTATTAAAAAAAAATGCTGTTTGATGCTTGTTGTTTGTCTGGTAACAACCCTTAAGTATATTTTAAGGAAGGCAGCGTGATTTTTATTCAGTAAGGAAAAAAAATACAGTATTTCTAATTTTTTTTTTTCTGCTTTGATAGGAAATACTTTTGAATATTGATGAAGATTATATATATATTTTAAAATAAGTTGTATGTTAAGTATGTGTTGTTAATTTAAATACAGTTTCCTATTTATAATGAAGATCCGATCATATTTGTTGAGGCTTACTGTTGATCTGCCTGTCAAGAATTTACTTAAATTTTTTATGTAATTTAAATAAAAAACCCCAACTGTTTGTATTACGTTGTACCACGAGAGTAGATCAGAATATTTTGTGATCACTTTTGTCTTCAGCAGTCAGTTAACTCTGTTTATCTGCTAATGTCATACTCTGTTTTGTATTGTTAGGTTATGTCGTCTAAAGAAGAAAGCTCAAGCTGAAGCAAATGCAACGTCTATCAGTAATCTCTTACCGTTTATGGAATATGAAGTGCACACCCAACTGATGAATAAACTTAAACTCAGAGGAATGAATGCTCTCTTTGGGCTGAGAATACAAATCACTGTGGGTGAAAACATGCTAATGGGGTTGGCAGTAAGTATTCTTTTAATCTTGGGATTCTTTTTATTTTCTTACAATATTTTTTCAGGTCACAAAAACATACAAGTGTTGTGGAATTCAGAATGGCTGGAGATATTAACGTGTTGTTTCAAGAGTAAGTGAAGTGATGGAAAAGAATGGGGTATCTAATTGTTGACAAAGCAGAAGAGACTATCTTTCAGCACCAGAAAAAGCAGATTTGAAACTGTTAGAGGACAAGGTCGTTAGAAGAGGGGGGGGGGGGGGGAGAAAGCTTAAAATTGCTTAATGGCTTATGCTGTGGCAAAATTATTATATTCTTTAAAGGTCCCATCACAGAGATCTGTTTCTTGTTTCACTTCATTCACATGACAAATAAGATATTTGCCAATTATGTTTCTTAGTAAATCTTTTGATTAGCTGCCAACAAGAGAAAGATCTGTCGCCTCTTCCTTGATGGCAATGAGGAAATAAGTGATAGATTCAGTGTCCTTGAGATAGGCGATATTTATTAAGAATATTTTCTAACCTCATTCTGTCATGTGGGGTCAGAATAGTAAAGCACGCTTCTTTCTTCATCAGTGAGTAAGAGGGTGCTTGGGTAATATTGAGTGGCTACCTATTGTCTGAGCTCATGATCTTCTTTCTGTAAATACATATCGGATTGTCACAACTTCAGTGAAGTTCTAAATGGGTTGGACTAATCTTAAATCCATGAAACTGTTGCTTAACTATGCAAAATATCTCAGAGCCAGGACCCATATAGCAATGTATTTCATTTTGAATTTGAAGCTAAATTCAGGATATTTTAGAAGAAAGCAGAGGTTTTAATTCATATTTAACTGGAAATTTAGGGTAAGTTATAAAACTCAGTGTAGAAAAGAGCTATGAGAAGGAGAGAAAGGTGTTTGTTTGTTTTTCTTAAGCATAGTGTCTTGCTTCAAGAAAGAAGGATTAATTTACTGTCGAATAGATCACACTGTAAATATAATACATATTACATCATAATGCTGTCCACTATAGCTTAAGCACTACTGAAACTATTTATATGAAAATAATAGAAGTACTTGCTAAAGTAAGAGAGTTGAAGATGCTGAAGAGATGGTATTATTTTTTTTCTTAAGTCTGCAACAGGTGTATATCTAGCAGCTTTGCCAACCCCTGGTGGTATTCAGATTGCAGGGAAAACTCCAAATGATGGCACCTATGAACAGCATATATCTCACATGCAGAAAAAGATAAATGATACAATAGCAAAAAACAAGGAGCTTTATGAGATCAATCCTCCGGTAAGTAAAGCTTTTACATTCTTAAAAATAAAGTCAAACACATGTACCCTATGTATATGCATATATACTTGAATTCTTACTGATTGAATCGTTCAGAACCTAGATTGTTTTTTAAGAAAGATAGATAAACTTTTTCACTATTTTTCATTAACCTATCTGGAATTCTCAGCTCTCTTCAGCCACATATGTAAATCAATTTATATTTCTTTAAATTTGTTATTATATAAAAATTATTTTCAGAATTCTCTTACTGTTAGGACTTTAAGCAAATTGCTCACAACTCACATGATTTATGAACTATGTAGGACAACTGTTAATTTTATTATGATATTGTTTTCAGGAGCTACCTGAAGAGATCATTGGGTCTCCCATTCCAGAGCCCAGACAACGTTCCAGGCTATTAAGATCTCAGTCAGAAAGCTCTGATGAAGTTACAGAGCTAGACCTTTCACATGGGAAAAAGGATGCCTTTGTCTTGGAGGTGATTAATATTTTCAGTACTTATGATCATACTTTTCTTTTCCTGAAACATTTGTAAAAAGCCGAGAAAGGATTTCTTCTTAGTTCTAAAAACAGTTTCTAAATTGTATATAAATGTTTCAATATTGTATCAGTAGGAACTGTTTTGCATTGTCTCTGTTTTTCTCATTCTGATCGCTTAAAGTATAGCTACTCTGTGCCTAGGGACAGTATCTGAAAAGACGTTGCCCTGCTATTCGTCAATATGTAGCAGTATCTGGAATAATAACTAAGAGCTGGTAAGAAGTGCCTTTCTGTCAACTTAAAAAATAAAAATAAAAAAATAAAAAAAAAGCAAGTTATAACTGATCCAAGGCTTAAATATATTTATGTAAATAAATTTATTTATAATATAAATATATTATGTAAATCTCAGGGTTCTGTGTTGTCACATTTTACAGCTAGCAGAGAAAAGCTTGTACGTTCTTCCTGTTTCACAGCTCTTATTGTAACAAACTCAGAATTGTTTGTTTCTAAAACTGATAGCATTCAAAGCACGTTCAGGAAAATAAATGTCAAGAGAGCCCATAAAAGAACACTTTTTTTTTCTGAATTTCAGTGACACCTTTCTGAGTTACAAATTTTTAAACTTTAGAGGAGCATACCTCCCATTTCTTTCTACAGCTACAACTAGAAAAAAAGCAACAAATATAGATAAAGAACATAGATTTCTTTTACCTCCTTCCTCACACAAATTCAAAGACGTGATTTTTGAAGGAAAGGAGCAAATACCAAAGAAAGCTAGAGTTTTGATCCTGTTCTTGTAGATAAAATTTTTAAAGATCTGGCCTAGACTAAGAAAAAGAAAAGAAGGGAAAGAACTGAATGAAATTACAGCCTGAAATTACATCGTAAGGTACAGTGAAGACTTTCTCTTATGTTAAGCTCCACAAATCAGTATCTTCACAGAAAAAAATCTGGAAA